TTTAAAAATATATATGTATATATAATTAGGTGCTCCTACTTAGGGTACATAAATATTTATAAATGTGATATCCTCTCATATTGACTCCTTTATTATTATATAATGATATTCTTTCTTATTTAGTCTTAAAGGCTATTTTGTCCGATAGAAGTTTATCTACCCCTGATCTCTCTTGGTTTCTATTTAATGGGACATCTGTTTCCGCCCCTTCACGTTCAGTCTGTGTGTGTCCTTGAAGATGGAGTAAGGCAGCATCCACGTGAACCTTGTTTTTTAATCCATTCAACCCCGCTGTGTCTTGATTGGAGAAGTTAGCCCATTTGTAATTAAACATTGATGGGCATGGACTTACTGCCATGTTGTTCACTGTTTTCTGGCTGTTTTGTAATTCCTCTGTTCCTTTTTGTCTTGTTCTCTGTTTCGGTCTGATGATTTCTCTGGAATGGTGTGCTTAGATTCTCTTCTTTTTATCTTTTGTATGTCTACTAGAGGATTTTGCTTTGTGATGACCGTGAGGTTTACATAAAACACCTTAAAGTTGGAACAGTCTGTTTTACGCTGATAACCAGTTAATTTGAACACATTCTAAAGCTACACCTTTCTACTCTTCCCCCTACATTTTATGTTTTCAGTGTCACAATTTACATCTTTTTATTTTGTGTATCCATTAAATTATCGTATAGTTATTTTTACTACTTTTTTAACCTCCATACTAGCTTTATATGTGATTAACCTACACAATTACATTAAATTATTCTGGTTTTAACTCTATAGTTACCTTTGTCAGCGAGGCTTCGCTTTGATTAGTAACTTTTTTTTTTTCTTTTACAGCTTAAGTCCCTTTAACATTTTTCATAAGGCCAGTGTAGTGTGCTGAATTCTGTTTGCTTTTGCTTGTCTGGAAAACTCCTCTCTCCTTCCATTCAGAAGGACAACTTAAATGGAACTGATTGTGCATCCTGCAACGTCACGAAATTTATGTATTCTGGTTTTTTTTGGAGTCTTTATGGTTTTACGTATGTAACACGTTCTTCGGTTTTGAAAACCAGCTCTGCGGTGGTCTCGATGGGCAGCTTGGTTCCGTCAGTGCTGTGAGCACCCCAGGCAGCACCCCAGACAGAGCCTGCGGGTGTCTGTCTCGAAATCTGCCGCTAGCCCGGTGCGAGAGAGCTCCCTGTACGTCGCAAGTCGTTTTTCTCTCGCTGCTTTAAGATCCGCCTCTCGCCTTTAACGTTGGTCATTTAATTACGACATGCCTCAGGGTGGGTCTCTTCACACGCATCTTCATCTTCGTTGGGAATCTGAGCTTCCTGGATCGGAATGTCTGTTTCTTTCTCTCAAGGTAGGGAAGGTTCAGCCCCTGTTCCCTTGCGTTAGCCCTGGGCCCCTTCTCGGTCCTCCTTCTGGACCCCTGTGCACGTGCCAGACGACCCTTAGCTGTCTTCACTCTTTTGCTCCCGTGCTCGGATGAGTTCTGCTGCCCTGTCGAGTGCACTGACCGTTTCTTGCGATTGGTGCGGTCTGTCGTCGGAGCTCTGTATTGCATTTGTCAGTTCAGTTCTTGTATTTTCAGCCCCGTGGTCTGCTCGGTACTTTTTTACATTTTCTGTCTGTGCCGAAGTTCTCCCTTCGTTCACGCACCGCCATCCTGGCCTCGGTGAGCATCTTTAGGTCCGTTATTTTGAGGTTTCAGGTGACTCACATTTCTTTCATTAAGATCCGTTTCTGGAGTTTCATCTTGTTTGTTTAAAACATACCCTTATGTTTCTCCATTTTCCTTGACTCTCTGCCAGTTTCCGTGCGTTAAATAAAACAGCCACCTCGTCCAGTCCTGACTGTGATGTCGTGTGGGAGACAAGCCTCACCTGTCAGCCCCGCCCGCTCCTGGTTGGCTCTTTAACCTTGGCGATTGCCCAAGCCATCTACTTGGTTCCTAGTGGCTCCCAGTAGTTGAGGGTGTGTCAATGTCCCAAAGTGGAGGGTCGCCGTCACCAGCTACAGGCAGGCAGGTCGGAAGCCACACCTCAGGCCCCAGCTGGGAAAGCACGCAGTTAGGCTCGTCCAGGGAGAAACGGGCGGTGGGCATTGCCTGCGCCCCCAGCACTGGGTCCCAGATGGAGTCACCAGATGGGGCCCCCTGAGCCTGGCGCAAACTTGTTTGCTACAGCCCTGTGGGACTCGGGAACACAAGCCCTGTTAACGATAAGCCAGGCAGTTGAGGAGCTTGTCCCTCAGGTGGCAGCCCCAAAAGCCAGGTGTACAAGAGACGTGGAGCCGTCTAGAGGGAGCGGGCAGGGGAGGTGTCCACGGGCCCCCTGTGACATGTGCTAACTTAGGGCTGGCCCCAGGCAGCAGTTGTGAGCATGCCAAGACCCCATGGTGTGGGGGGAAGATGGATGGAGGTGGATGCGTTCCACCTGCTCCCAGGGCACAGGTGCTGGGTGGGAGCCCAGGTGTGTGCTTGCGCCCTCAGTCACTGCCTCTGCGTCTGCTGTGGTCTCATGGATGCAAATCCCATTGGCTGTCGGGGCTGTGTGTTTGGGGGGCCATCCCTTGGGTGGGAGTTTTAAAAGTTTGGGTGCCAGGTGCGGGATCCAAACCCTTCATTCCTTAGGGAGAAGCCAGGATTTGGGGGTTCCCTTCTGACTGTATGGTGCCGTACAGGGCTGGGGTTTACGACAAGGGCATCTGTCTTTCCTGCTCGTTTCGATATGGGTATTTTCTTGTTCCCTGACATATGAGAGTTGCTCGGCCGGCTTCTGGACTTCTTTCAGAGAACGTTGCTCCCCGTGTGGCTGTTCATTCCGTGTGTCTGATAAAAGGGGAACACTTGGTGGGGCCGTAAGAACTCAAGATAACAGTGAGGGCGTCTGACCCTGGACGTGGCCCGAGGGACATGTCTTCCTTTGAGGTGGGAGGAGGGACAGAGGCCGGGCAGCGCAAGCACCATGCGAGGGAGTCGAGGAAACACGTTTCTGGTGGACTTTGTTTTCTTGGTAAATTTGGAGGAACAAATAGCTAGTGATTACGAAAGAAAAGGTGGCTCAGAAATAAGGAGAAGAAGAGCTGGCGTCACCAGAGACGTCCACGTTCGCACAACGTGGAGGCCCAGGAAACCTCTTCCCTGCCTACATGCGCCCAGCTCCTGACGCCCGGGGGCTGTGAGGGGCGCGTCTGCCACTTGCTTGTTATGCGACTTTGTGGTCTGAGGCCAAGCGACTGATCCAAGGTGGAACCGTGGCCTGCATCTCAGAGCTAGCGCTGGGACAGGGCGGCTAACATGTCAAGTTCTGATGAGTGTTTATAATTGGAGTTTTCTTGCGTAAAATCTGCTAGTACAATAAACAGGTGGCGAGGGCTCTGACAGCGCCGAGCGGATGGCCGGGGAGTCCCCTGTGGAGTGCACGTTCGGAGACGTTGATGAATGAAGCTGCTTGTCCCTCGGGAGGGGCAGGCTGGGACAGAGGCAGCGTGAGCTGTGTCCTAAATGCCCCCAGTGTTACTCACACACTCTGCCCTAGAGGATCTACACTGCCTTTCCAGGTCAGACCTAGAAACCCTGGCATCTCCCTGACCTAAGAGAAACACAGCGCTCTGCTGTTGTGGCTGAAATTGTGCTCATGTTTATTGAAAAGGCAGAACACAGTAGTAGAGAGGCGGCTTCCACAGGTCTCCGGACACTGGCTGTAAATCAGCCTCAGGCTTCTCATTCCCTGGGGTGGAAGCGAAACTGCCCTAAGGAAATGTCCGCGGGAAGAATGAACGCGAAGCCGCACCTCCCACGGTACCCGCCGAGGCAGCAAGCAGCTACTAGTGGTGGCAGCAGTTTGAAAATGAAGTACCCTTGCGCAGAAAGCTCCAGTGCCATCCAGTCCAGGGCACAGAGCTCTCCCCTGAGGCCACGGAGACTGAGGTGACACGGGGTCTGTGCCCCAGACCGGAGGCCAGAGGAGTGGGGATCTGACGGTAGCCACTGTTCCTGCGGGAGACAGTGCCATGGGCCCGCAGGGTCCTGGGCGGCCTGTGGGTGGCAGCCCCTGTGAGGGGCTAGAAGCTTCTGTCTGGGAGAGCAGGGCAGGGAAATGGCTTGGAGGCCCCTCGACAGAAGATAGCCGAGGGATGGGGCACTCAGCTGACTTCTTAGTCACAGCCGGGACTCGATCAGTGCGCCTAAGTGGAGAGCTCGGGGGTCAGGTGGAGGGAACATCGCGTCATACTTGACGCACCGGCTAAGGTTCCTTCCCAAGCAGGCGGCGGTGTCTGGATCGAGGCCGGTGCACACGCTCCCAAGGGCAAGGTCAGCCCTGGTGGGCGGGGAGCATTCGCACACAGCCTTCGGGAGCCTGGATGGGAACGAGGTAAGGTCACCTGATCCCACCACGTAAGGAGGTGTCTTTACAGACCAGAAGCCCAGAGCACTGGGGCAGCTCGCCCCGAATTCGGAAAAGTGGGAGAAATTGAGCAAACAAGTTATTGCTCAGGGTTCCCCAACTTAGGAGTGTGGTGGGAGGAGGCACGAGGACCAGCAAAGTCCCCGCCCCCTCGATTAAAGCGACCACAGGCATCACCTTCATGGGGAGTCTGCTGGAAATCAGATATAACTTTTTAATGACTTGTGGCCCGGCTCAGCTCCCTTACCTGTGACAAGCTCATTAAGTCTTACTGTGCCTCAGCTGTGAGGAAACGGGCTGGAGTAGGGACACCCTGCACGTGCTTACTGATAGGTGCTTTGCGAGGCCGCCAGCCTCCTCCCACAGATCTGGACGACAAGACACCAGAAGGTTCCGTGACTCGATTCGGTTCACTCCTGGGAACGGGCAGTTCTGGAGCGCAGCGTCGAGCTGTCCCTCCCCAGCCTGAGCGCGCTGCTCCTGGGAGCCCAGGCCGGGGTGCAGCAGCCGGTCCCGGCCTCAGCGCTTCCACGCACTGTCCGGACCAGCCGGGGAGAGGGGGGCAGCAAGGCGGCCCCTCTGAACCACTGGACACCGCCAACCGCGCAGCAGCCAGTCCTGGCCTCGGCGCTTCCACGCACTGCCCGGACCAACCGGGGAGAGGGGGGCAGCGAGGCGGCCCCTCTGAACCACTGGACACCGCCAACCGCGCAGGAAAAGCATCTTCTACGAGACTTGAGACGCGTGCAGTCCGACGCCTCCATCACTCCCCCCTCCCCGGCGAGGGGTGCTGCCCCCAGTGAGCCGGGGCGGGCCGTGGCGCCCCCGCTACCCCCGCAGGTAGGTGCGGGCTGCGGGCGCCTGCCCCAGGGCATTGCTGTGCGGGCCGGCCCCCGCCAAGGCCACCAGCTTCTCGCTGAGCTTCTGGTTGGCCAGTTCCAGGTGGCGGCCGTTCTTCCGTGCCTGTCGCAAAGCCCTCTTGACCTTCTTGACCCGGTCCCGGAGCTGCCGGTTCCGCTTCTCCAGCGTGGCCACCTTCTGCTGCAGCTTCTTGACGTGGTCCTCCTCCTCAAACAGGGCCTTCTGCACCGAGGAGCACAGGAGCTGGGGAGACAGGCGCCCCGGAGGAGAGGCAGGTGAGTGACAGAAAACGCCCCGGGCCATGTGCCTGGGCGCTGCCCAGTGCCAGCGACACCGACCCGAATGTCACCCCTAACCCCGACTCCAGGACACACTCAGGACGCCTCCCTCGGTTTCACCCTGACCTCAGACGCAAGCCCAGCCCCTCCTGTGCTGAGTATGGGCTCCTTGGATGATTTTGTTTCGAAGAGATTTCAAACAGCTGTCACTCCTGTCAACAAGCGCAGAGCTCCAGTGAATCAAGAAGTCCAAGACCAAACCCTGAGGCAGAAAATTGCATAAAAGATAGGAGAGCTTCCCAGGAAAGGTAAGGTAAAGCTCTGTTAGACACAGAAAAAGGGACTCGTCCTCACTCATAGTCGGGTAAATGCACATTAGAGCCACAGGGGATTTCTGTTTTTCACAGGTGGGTAAAGTGAAAGCGTGGAGGGCAGGGAGACGGGCATGCTGGTCTCCTGCAGGCAGAGCACCCACTGCTCCCAAGAGCAGCGTGGCTAGATCCATCGAAACGAAGCCTCACAGATCCTCTGGTCTAGTCATTCTGGGGCTTTGTCTCATAGAAATGCTCTCACATGCACAAATGTTATTTGTTATAAGAAGATTCAGGGACATTTAACCATGGTAGCCTAAGCCATCCTTGTTTTCTGCCCCACCCTCCAGCCACAAAAGTTCTGCATCCATCCACAAAGTGCCTCTAGGGGAGCTATGGGGCCCAGAAGGAGTCTCACCCACCGTGCACCAGACAGATCAGCCCCTGCTGTGGACCCTGCAGTGGTCCACGAACTGGCTGCAGCCCCCCTCAGGCAAAGGACCTCAAAGAAGACATACAAATGGCCGACGAGTACATAAAAAGGTATGCAGCATCTCTAAATCATCAGGGAAATGCAAAGCAAAACCACAATGAGGTATCACTTCGCACCTGTTAGAATGGCCGTCATCAAAGGGAGAGGGTCACAGTGTAAGATGGTGATACGGGAGGATCCTGAACTTACCTCCGCCCGTGGACACATCAAATCCATAGCTACGTACAGAACAATTTCCTGTGAAAGAAACCTGATAACTAGATAGTGACTCCAATACATCAGGCAAATGAGAGGAAGCCCACATCGAAACAGGAAAGAGGCTGAGCCATAACCTTGCCATAGATCGCCTGGCATGGTGACCCACAAGCGGGAGGGAACTCACACTCCCAGTTTCTCCCCCGGGGAGTGAAGGGTTGGAACCACATGCTGGGGACTCCAGCTTTTAAGACCTGCACCTGAGAGATGAATCCCCAAAGAAAGCCAACAGGGCTTGCGTCCCCAAGGCTCTAGCACACAGACTCGCCCAGCACAGGGCAGCAGACCGAAAAGCACCCAGACTTTCTGGGAAAGAGGCCTATCTGCTTGTCTTAAAGCTTCAGCCTGAGGGGCTTCTAATCAGGTACACATCTGGAGGCCTACTGAAATGTACTCCAGAGACCCTGGACTTGGCCTCTGCCCTGCTCCAGGTCATGGTCTCACCCAGAAAGGAGCTTGTGCACACATCCGGTGGCCCAGTTTTTGCATCTGGTGGTCCAAGGGTTACAACTGTGCCCAGTGGACACCCCTTGATTACTTGGTTCTGGTGGCCAGAGGGGCTTACCTTTGCAAATCCCATAGGATTTTACAGAGTAGCGAAACAATTCTTGACCAGCCACCCGCCTCAGGGCACAGAGGGGACAATGACGCAGGCCACTAACAGCAACCCTCTGTGATCTGGCGCAGTGAGAACCCCAGGGCCTTCAAGCGCATCAGTAAGCACGCACCGCCAGTGTCCTTCCGGGGCAAGAAGACGTCATGGGTGACCCAGCTCCTCTTCCAAGATGCCCCCCTGAATTGCTGCCCGGTGAAATGGAGAAACTGTTTGGAGAATCACATACCTGTCAAGACTCTGCGCATCGTTGGTAATGTGCCCAGGCACCCTCCTCCTCCTGATCTTCACCCCGATAGCAAAGTGGCGTCTCTCCCTCTGCACACAGCGCCTCTTTGACCTAAAGAGGACCTATGTCCAGGCCACTGCTGCAACCGAGAAGACACCGATGCCATCCCGAAAGGACCGCATCATCCACGACGGAATCGAGAGCCTTGCCTCGGCTTGGGGTGACGTCACCCAGGCGTGTAGGAATGGCACCTGACGGAGATACTCAAGAGGTTCGTCGGTGACGTCAAGGGATTTGCCAAGGATGAGGATGTGAAAATCTCAAGGCTGTGGGTGGGGCGGCAAACAGCTTTCCCCGGGGTGGGGACGAGGGGGCCGCGAGGAGCGCCCAGAGGGAGTCGTTGCAGCTGGACAGGAGCACACGGCTGAAGGAGAGCATGAGAATTAAACTGCAGAAGAAGAACTTCCAAGAAAAGCCGCAGCGAGGGCCTAGCAGAAGCGTCTGCGGACCTCAGCAAGCTCCTTAGAGTATGAACGCGGACATACTAGAGTATGAACGTGGACACCAACACCGAAATTTTGCTTTCAAGCAAATCTATGACAAAAAACAAGCAAGCAAACCACCAGGGACATATTTCTGAATAGAGTGACACCTCCTCAGGAAGAGCCTCAGGCAGGTCCTCCGGGTGTTCCAGAAGGAGGTGGCCTTATCATAGATGAGGGCGCCCTGCCTGTCACTGCCCCTGAAGGCCTTCCGGTGGGACAAGATGTGCAGGTGGGAGACAGTGATGCTGGTGACCCTGCCCTGTGTAGGCCCAGGCTGCTAATGTGTTTGTGTCTTTTTAACAAAAAAAGTTTAAAAAGTAAAAAAAGTGTTTTAATAGGAAAAAGCTTATAAAATAAGGATACAAAGAATATTTTTTGTACAGCTCGACAGTGTGTTTTAAGCTAAGTGTTGTTACAAACGAGTCAAAAAAATTATAAAGTTATAGTAAGCTAAATAATATATATTATTGAAGAAAAATGTTTATAAATTCAGCATAGCCTGAAGGGACAGTGTGTATCAAGTTGTGGCAGTGGACAATCCGTCCTAGGCCCTCACATCACTCACAGCTCGCTCGCTGACTCACCTACAGCAGCTTCCAGTCCTGCAAACGCCATGCATGGTAAGTGCCCTATACGGGTGCACCATTTTTTAAATCTTTTATACTGTATTTTTGCTGTACCTTTCCCATGTTTAGATATATAAGTATTTACTACTGTGCTGCAATTGCCTACAGCATTCAGTGCAGTAACAGGCCGCAGAGGCTGGTGGCCTGGGAGCAACGAACTGTAGGTAGAGCTCAGGTGTGCAGTGGGCCAGACCATCCGGGTTTGTGTAAGTGCACTCTGATATTTTGCACAATGACAAAAATCACCTAATGACATTTCTCAGAAGGTATCCCTGGTCCTTGAGTGATGCCTGACTAGTCAGGTGGTGGCTTAATCACATATGAAGCCATAATGAAGGTTAAAGATAAAAGCAGAAACATAACTACAATTACAGTAACTTGTTAATAGATACACAGGACACAGAGATGTGAATTTTGACTTCAAGAACACAAAACATAAAATTAGGTGGCGAGTAAAAAGATAGAGCTTTAGATAGGGCTTGAAAATAACTTATCAGCTTAAAATAGACTTACAAGTTGCCTTATTTAAGCCTCATGGGAACCACAAGGTGAAAACCTAGAGTAAATACTCAGAAGATAAAGGAATCTCATCACACCACTACAGAAATTCATCAGATCACAAAGAGAACAAGAAAGGAACGGAGGAGTTACCAACCAATCGGTAATTCCTTAGACTGTTCACATTCAAAGTTCTCCAATCCAAAGACCCTGACCAGATTTTTAAAAAGACCCGACTGTATACCGGCTCTAAGAGACTCGCTTCAGCTGTAAGGACACACGCAGAGCGAATGTGGAGGAATGGAGAAAGATATTCCACGCAGGTGGGACCCGAAATAAGGAGGGCATTGTATAGTGATTAAGGGATCAATCCAACAAAAGGATGTATTCGTAAATATTTATGCAACTAATATAGTAGCACCTAAATACTTAAAGTAAATATTAACACCTAAAGCTTTGGAACAAATAGCAATGCAAAGGAAAAAAAAAAAAAAACAAAGAACAGAAACAAATGAAATAGAGACTAAGAAGACAATAGAAAAGATCAATAAACTTTGATCAAAAGAGCTAGCTTTTTGAAAAGGTAGAATAGACAAACCTTTACCTAGGCCTACCAAAAACAGAAGAGGACTCATAAAATCAGAAATGAAAGAGATGTTACAATTGATACCACGAAAATACTGTAAGAGACTACTGTGAAAAATTACATGCCAACGAATTGGACAACCTAGAAGAAATGGATAAATTCCTAAATATACAACCTACAAAGACTGAATCATGAAGAAATTAAGGAGATTGAATCAGTAATCAAAAACCTCCTAAGCAACAAAAGTTCAGAACCAGACAGCTTCACTAGTGAATTCTACAAACATTTAAAGAAGAATACCAGCCCTTCTCAGACTTTTTCCAAAAAAGTAGAAGAGGAGAGAACACTTCTAGACTCATTTTACAAGGCCAGCATCACCCTGATACCACACAAAAATGACACAATATCCCTGATGAATACAGATGTAAACATCCTCAACAAAATATTAGCAAACTAGTTTGACAATACAGTGAAAGGATCATACACCACGATCAAGTGTGATTTATTCCTGGGCTGCAACAATGGTTTGACATCCGCAAGTCAAGGTGATATCCACACTAACAAAATGAAGGATAAAAATCGAGATTATATCTCTATAGATGTAGAATAAGCATTTGACAAAACTGAACATCCATTAAGGATAAAAAAAGAAAACCTCTGGACAAAACAAGCAGAGAGGGAATGAACATACCTCAGCGTAATAAAGCCCATATGTAACAAGCCCACAGCTCACATCGGACTCAACAGTGAGAGGCTGAAAGCTTTTCCTCTAATTGGGAACAAAATAGGGATGCCCAGTCTTGCCACTT